GCAGGAACATTCAATGTGCAGCCAAGCAGTTAAAACGTATCGACGATAAAATACGCGGCAAAATAATATCGATCAAGAAGGAGAATGGAGCCATAGCTGCTCATGCACAAACACGGCAGAACGTAGTCGAGCTCATGTGGCGGAATATTCTGACCGCTACTGGTGAACTATAAACTAAACTCCATTTAATGACCACCAGAATCTTCTGAACAATTTAAACAAGTAACGTTCATCAATTTCATTCACTTATCCCTTGACTGGAAAGGAATCGCCAATATCAAATTGTTTCTATAGAATAAAATAATTATCTTTCATTGTCACATTAGTTTCTGAAGAACATTGTCAACAAGCAGCAGCAAGCTAGTACTACGACAGTTCTGACGATCATCGTTGTGCTTGCAAGGCAACAGATAAATGAGGCACATTCCCAATTCTTTAATGCTTATTTCTAACCACTCTCGTATTATACCTTGACGTGTGTGCTTGTCTGTCCGCTAATAATTTGCGTCTGCGCCCTAACAAAAGGGGGGAAGTCCCAGGTGCCGGGACTAAAATGTGCCCATATGTGTTTTTCGTTTGTCTGCACCTAAGTTTGTGCAACTATGGGAAACTACTGATAAACTGCAAGGAAATTAAGGAAAGCTACAAGGAAACCGAACAAAAGTGCAATCAGACAAAAGGAAACTAGAGATTCTAAATGGAAATTAAGGAAAATCGAAGCAGACTAAGAGAAATCGATGGGAAACCACTGTAAGCTTGATAAAGCAAGAGCCGTTACGCAATAATTTGCATAATGCTTGTCTCGCTGCGCGCTTTCGGTGCTTGCTTCGACGCGCATTCCCTAACTGGTCGAACTTTCTTCTAAACGAAGCAGTCTTTTCTTAATGATTACTTACCATGAGCTGGAGCTATTTTCGTTATACACTTAGGTCGATTTTCGTGCGAAAGTCGCGACACGACTCGCGCTGCGCGATCGCTATAGGACTGGCGAAATAAGACGCGCTTTTAGCGATCGCTATAAAGTCTTGCTGTAGTGGTTCTCGCGACAACATCTTGCTAGTTATATAAGAAAATTGCGTTCTCGCGGCGCGAGTCTTGCCTTGTTTTAAAATCGCGACACGAGCTAGCAAGAGTCGCGATCAGTCGCGTCGCAAATCGTATTATGCAGATCGGCTCTACAAGAATCCTGGATAGTCGCGATAAGTTTCTGCAAGAGTCGTGCATGGTCGCCCCAGATTTTTTCTGGTCCTAGTTTCATCCTATTTTTTGCTCTTTTGACAGTTTTCCAGAAACAGAAATTGCCTACAGTGTTTTAAGAGGGGTGCGACCATCTGATCTCTGCTCTCGAGATTTAAATCTCTCCATTTATCGGATCGAAGACATCTTAGATTTATCCGATCGAAAATAGCTTCTTCAGATCATTTTAGACCTCAATGTATACTGTGTTGTTTTCTTGCCTGGAATATCATCCGGTCTCGTGATAAAGTTGCCTCGAGTATACCAGTTTTTCTTCTCTGCTACATGTTCATTCAACATTATTTAGGATAAATTACAGTAAAATCACAAAACAAAGATACGCGTCAGAAAAAGAGTAATATCAGAGGTTTGCATTTCAGGAAGGAAGGATACTTTGTCAGCATCCAGTTTGATACTTAAGTGCATCATGTTTTACCGGCTTACTCTTCGGAACATGATGCACGTAACAAGTACACAGTTACTCCAGAACAGTGTATCTGGTGGAAAGTGAAGAAGTCCTTTCGCCTTTTCTGTTGTTACAAAGTTGAACTAAATGTTTTTTTTGAAGTATGGCTCAGTCAGAAGGTATTTTGGAAAATCAAATTCGAAAGTAAATGCTTCAGGAATGTCATCAACTGTTGATCTAACGGTATCCACCTATAGTTTTCAATCCTGATTTGCCATGAAGCTAGATAGATTGATCTGATATTGCTGCGTCAAACAGGACCGAACTAATCTTCGCTACATCCTGTATCTGGATCTCAATCTATTTTCTCTCTTTCTCAACAATTTTTCTTTTTCTCTTAACTCTTCCAAGACGGGATTATTTTTCGTGAAAAAAACATGTAAAAAATTAAATTTAAGAATTGAATTTTCTTCATTCAAGTTTAGTAGTATGCTTTCAATGTATGATATTCTCGAAAACAATTTGCAATATATAAACCTACATTACAGTCTGAACATTCATATTTGGTAATCGCTATCACTGTCAGATTCGAAATTCGTATGAATTTCATTCACTTCTGTACTTCGCTTGCGTTTGAATGCAGCCATAGTGTGTTCAAAAAACAACAAAACAAGTGGGACGAAATTGATGGTAATATCGAGTACTTTTCTAATTTATCTTTTATGAGAGTAATCGATCACTGGTCAGTAAGTCAAAAAGTTTTCGCATATATATATCCGTATTCTGAAACTTATATATATATATATATATATTTATCAGAGTGAGGCAAGAGAAACTAATCTCTAGGTAATAGAAAGAAAACAATTCATTGGAAAATGCGAGAGAACAACACACATGATTCATATAGAAAGAAAACGAATGTATCTGAATATACTAGAATAAAAGAACGTATACGCATATGCGCATGATAGCAGAAAGAAAAAAGATGTAGATGGAATAGAACAAAAAAAGAGAAAAAAATCAGGACTGATCACCAAAATAACATTAGGTATATATCATTATAACGAGTATATTATAATGCATATACAGCTATTCCCGATCGTCAATGAATACTACGTCTCTCTGCTCAAAACAGTCAGTGGCCACTATAGTGTCCGCCGGTCCTGAAAGGGTTAAACGCGTGCGTGCTTGGACTCAGTTAGTTGTCACATTTTGTCTTGATAATCATGATCTAGTCAACCAAACGTCGAATAAAATTTGAACCTCAAAAATAAAAAGCGAAATGCTTAACCCATTTTTTCCTCTTGGTTCGTTAAATGATGTTTAGAATAGAAGACGCTCTTTTCCAGTTCAAACAAAGGTTGCGAAGTTTTTTGTGTTATATACAAATATTTTTCTGATTCGTCCTCTACTTTCGCTTTGCTAAGTCTAAGTTTGTTTCGATTTGACAGGAGGCGTTTGTCATTAAAGAACACTGTCCTCCCTCAGAACTTTCGTTAATTTTTTACTTCTGTCTGTGGTCGCATTTCACAGCACTTTTGGCACCATACACTTTTGTCATCGGGTGATGCTGAACTTTCGCCACATGACGAAAGTTCTGTTTTCAGTGATAAAACTTCTCTCGGCATGTAACAAAGTTCTTGCATAATGTGACAAAAGTTTTGACAAACATTGCATTTTTTTACAACATGCGTAAAAAGCTCTTCCAAAGTATTTTACAAAAGTCAAAATATCAAAATCAAGCGTCTATTGCGTTTACGATTAGTTCAGTCTGGAGTAGTTCACACTGCAGCAGTCCAAATTGGAGTAGTCCACATGTAAGCAGTTCTATGGTATTAGTGTGACGTAAGCTCTTTTTGAGTTGTGACGAAAGTTCGCGATGGATGTGATGATAATTGTAGGTGTGTTAATAGTTGGTTACGAAAGTTCACCACTCTTGCGATCAAAGTGTGGAGTGGTACTTCCCCAAAAATGCCGTACAGTTTCGTCACGTGTGACGAAAGTTCTTTTTTCTATGTGATGAAAATTAACATAACGAAAGTGTTATCACCCGTGTTCACACTTAAAGAATGATTTTAACGTGCCCTTCCATTTCTTCTTTTATTACCTATGTAGAAAAAAAAAGGTAAAACGAAAGAAGACGACAGAAAGAAATAAAGATAACAAGCATTACTTTATTTTATGATCTGTATTTACTATTTACCTTGGTTAAGTAAATGTCAGTTTTGACGATAAGAACGAAAGAGAATTATTCAAACAGGTTTTACAAATTTTAACACCCACGAAATATAATACATAACGCGATCTGTAATGCCAAAATCATGTTAAAATTAACATGCAGCAAAACATTTAAATTATATTTTGTTGATATTAGTTCGATATTAATTGACTTATCAAATTTAGCTGAACAATTTTATGTTTATTTTTTAACAACAAAATCAAATTTAAGTGGTAGAGATGATCGAGTATTTTTTTATATATTATTTGCCATCGGAACCTTTAGTATATTCAAGTCATTGATATTAAATCCCCGAGCACAGATCATCATTTCGTTTCTAATCGAAATTGGTGAATTATTTTCCTATTTATTAGTATTTAAAGGTACGCTTTTCGGCATAGATATCGGGTATCTTGGTATTAACAGTGATTCTCTGATATTAAAATCAAACAAATTAACCATTGTCACTTTTACATTTTTCGGTTTTCAAACTATTTTACTGTGGGTTAATTTTTTCCTTATTGACTTGGATCATGAACGAAAAGCATGGTACATGCGTGTAACTGGAATTATTGGGCGAATTTTTTTGTATATTGTACTGAATTTGAATCAAATATTGTTTTTGTTTTTGGATTCAAATTCAGTTTATCGTAATACCTATTTTGAATTGTTGACAACATTATCGTTCTATTTGGGTGCACTATGTGCTGATTATTCACTGGAAATTAAAAATACAATTATTGCAGCACATCGAAATGAAACTCGAAATAACAATGATTTTAAAGCAATTAAAACCGTATCCCAAATTATTATCATTCATCCATTAAAAGATGTTATTAAACGATATGTGCCGATTGTTGGACGTTCATATACAAAAGTTGCTATTTATTGGTATGCATTTGTTTTTATCTTAAATTTATTTATATTACAGCCAGTCACATTAGTCACCATGTTTGTTGTCTCAAGTACAGAATTAAGAAGAGGACGGAAAACATTGTACAATTACGATCGAGGAGTTTACATTTGGTCAATTATATCAGCGTCAATTTTATTGCTTATTCTTCTTATTGTACTTCCCATTGTTGTTCGAGCTTTTTGGAAAGCAACAAAGAAAAAAGTACATGTAATTCAACCAGCACCACTATCTGAATTAGATCAATTTTAAATGAAATATAAAAGGCTAGCTATTCCGTAGGAAGTGAAGAACAATAGCAATGACTAAACTTCTAACGTGATCTCGTATAATAGACAAGTTACAGTCTATACGTCTTGGACAACAAATTCGTGATCATATCGAACTATGTTGGATAAGAACGACAGAGGTAAATATGTCACAATTATCCGGGTATCTCAAGTAACAAATCAGTACTCTTAGGACGCTTGTAAACGAAAGAATTATGGGGTTTAGATTTAAGCTTGAAGAGAAAAAGAATATTTTCCACGCTAACAAACTTTCTGAAAAGTATTCGTTCAGTAGAATGAGTACGTGCAGTTTAGCGAAGACTCCAGCAGACTCAAATTTTATAAAAGAACTCTTATAGCCATACTATGTCTGTGCCATCTGAGAAAACGTTTATTGGGAAAAAAGTGTCATGTCCGCCTCGAAGGAGAAGTTGCCTATTGAGGACGGTAGCGGAAGATAGATCGTCCATCCTTAATGGTTGACTTCCTTACGCAGCTTGTTTTGATGATAATACATCAACTATTGTACCACGAAAACAAGTGAACACAACTCTATATGGCTTTCCTATACAAACAAATGTGTGAGAAACCTAAATATAGAGAGTGAAAGGCCAACTTTTGCTTCGCAGAAGTTGATCGTTTTACCTTGTCTCAAAGAAAGTAATACACTGGAAAAATGTGATAAGACTGTGCTTCGATAGCTCAGAGATAGAACATGGGACTACAGTGTCCAGGGTTCGATTTCTACCTGAGACTTTATGTCTCGAGACAACTCTACGGCTTGTCCAAACGTCACAGCGTTACGTTTTTAACGCACTAAACTTCGATTATCTCGGAAACTAAAGTAGCTAGAAAATTCGTTCAAACATCAATCGACGCAGTTCATCATGCTCTACTTATGCTGTGAGCATGATGAATGAAGTTTTTTGGATGTTGCATTGGGCTTTGAGAAGGATTTTAGTGTTGCGTCACGGCATTACGAAAAAGACCCTTTTTTAAGAGTGCTGCTACGAAAATCCTGATTTGCTGCGAAAGTAGTTCTCCAAACGGAACATTCCTTGAGTCGATCCTGTAGAGTAGCTCACGGGCTTTCCAATGATAAAAAAATGTTTCACCTGGGTTATTAGATTTGCCTGAAAAACACAAAATATAAGCGTCACAGCGTTACGTTTTTCGTCACGGCGTTATGCACCTTTTTGTTAAGCATATTTGAGGCACTTAACACGATAGTAAAGTTTTGATTTTCACAACTTCCTGTGTTCTTTGTATATTTGATCGATCTGCGCAAAGATCAAGTTGCTGTATCAAAATAAGAGCTTAAAAAGTCGACAGTAAGTCGGAAACTGTACAACTATGTACAAATTTTACATAGCAAGTAAAGCCAAAAACAAATACGCCATCTTGTAGAGAATTCAATTCTCTGTAGAGAATTCAATTCTCTACAAAAGCATATTTTAAAAGCATTCCGTTACGTGGACAAGCCGTCTATCAGAAAGCCATATAGAGTTCTGTTCAATAATTTTCGTGATATAATAATCAATGTATTATCATCAAACTAAGCTGCGTACGTGATACCTTATCTATTATTTTAATCTGCTTGAAGATTTTTCTTTTAACAGTAACACCAAATCCAGTTTCTGAATTGTCTTTAAATATAAACTACTTTCACTTATTCATGTAGTTGTACAAGTTCAACATGTACGAAAACAGTTCAACATGTACGAAAACAGCTCAACAAAAACGGATGGAAACCAAATAAACGCAAGATTTGTCTGTTAGTTGACCAATTGTTATGGGCAACTATCTAGGTGCAGGTTTATCCCTTGTCTATCGTCGATTAAACTCTTATTAAGGCGTGGTAAATATTTTGTATGTTTGAAACAAGGATAGAAACATTATGTTTCTATCCTTGTCTATGAGCACATAAACCTAGAGCAGGCACAACAGTCGGCGATTAAAGATTCTTCAGAGATACTAAGATCGATCCTGTCCGTCAAAGCCCCAACCCTTCTAATATTTTAACACGGACCGAATGGCCAATGCTGACTAAGTAGCAGTTCCGCCAAGATGAACAAACCATCATGTATTCCTGTTGGTATTATTTTATCGCTTTCGAATCACTTTAGTGAACATCTGTAGCTTTCTGATCACTACACCAGTCACTTATGCGTTTAAATCCAATGCATAACTTACTTCTACACAAAATCAGTTTCATACTTGCTCTCCATACATGTTTCAGAGCATCCAATCATTTGCTTGTAACTGACCATCCTGTTTATCATACTGAATTCATCATAATAACATTTTCTTTCAGTTTTGTTGTTACTCGTTCACGGTCGACGTCCAAATTAAGTAGTAAGTTCAGACAGGTCTTTGTAATAATTGTTGTATTTCCACGATCGTCAAGAATTGGCGTTAATTTCATCTCCAGGAATCTTTGTTTCTACACCGTACACCACAAAGAACGGTATTCTACCTGTTGGTTGGTGAACACGTATCTAGCAAACAAATAGAGCTTTATCAACGAATTCATCCCATTTTGTTGCTCTTCTTTCGATGTGCGAAATAGTGTGAGTTACAAACTCCAAGTTGCAATTTAACTCCAATTGAACTAGGTAGAGAAAATACGTTCGAAAATTTAGAAGAACAAAAACGAAAAACATCTACTCCTTTCACAAACTGAAGGATTTTTCGAAATTTGAAAGTAGTATTTAGTATTTTGTTTGAGAGTAGATCTAGTATTTCGAAGACTTTTCATTCAAAAACTAATAATTTAAAGCTGAAATGTAGATATTCGTGATGATATATAATACATTAGAAAAAGTCTTGCTCGAACTTTGAATTACGTCCACCTTACATAAATAAAGAAGCACCGGGGTTGATAAGAGGCAAAATTGGCCCCCCTATCAGATCGAGCTCATGTTCACAAATCTGATGTAGTTTTTCTCCCCGATTAAAACTAGCACCTTAAAAACCTATTTTCAGCCTTTCTGGTAAAAATTTCGCATCCTAACTTGCGTCTCCGACTGTCAAATCGCTTTTGACGTAAAACTTAGTGGACTATGGGTAACCGAGCATGCTGATTCCGAATATGACGATGGTTTTTGCCAATGCGTCATTGGAGACCACGGTTTTTGAAAAACTGGGTTTTAGCAATGAAAAACTTTTTTGGTCCGTACAAATGAAAGCGCATGCTCTAAACCTATGCAAAACTATTTTTTAAGGTTTTGGAACGGTTTTGAACAGTTTTTAAAAGGTCAAAACTTAATACTACACCCAAAAAACAGCTTTTTACGTTCAAACTTTTAGTTTTACACGTTTGATTCTTTGAAAATACTATTTAACTGCACCGCTTTATAGTCGAAAACATTCTATTCAGGCATTTGTTACATCTAGAAGATAGTGAGCAGATTAAAAAAATTTCTGATATGCGCTGGGAAATATGCTTACAGTTAGTTTGAACTTATTTTCCAGCGCGAATCCCAGCATCGAGTTTTATCTATGTCGACGGAGAAAGGTTATGCTACACATAGGAGTCTTTAGATACAGATTTCTGAAAAACTGGGTTTTCCAAAAAACCTAGTGATCTTACAATTTATTCTTGAAGCCTCTCAACCATATCATTAGATAGCCCCTTCAATTCTCCATATGATAAGATGCTGGTCAAGTTTATAGGATCGGGGAAGACCGAGTTACCTGCTTTTTAACATTATGAATATAAATTCAGTCGCGTTAATGCCGTTTTCGATCTGTGTCGTATTTTCTACGCCACTTTTTGATATAACATAACAAACTTGATCAGCATCTTATCTTATGGGGAATTGAAGGGGCCATCTAATGACATGGTTGAAAGGCTTCTAGAATAAATTGTAAGATTACTGGGTTTCCTGGAAAACCCAGTTTTTCAGAAATCTGTATCTCAAGACTCCAAGGTGTAGTGTAACCTTTCTCCGTCGACATAAATAGAACTCGATGCACTCTTTCATTTGATACCAGCCTCAAGGTTCTACGTTAGGAGATGTGGACATCAAGTTAGTGAACATTCTCACGAATTTTCTTCTCACTATTCATACCGTCTTCATCTGTACACGTATAATACTGCTCAACGAGACCGGTCAAGCGACTCCCGCTAAGTTTTGCTGTAAAACCGTTTGTCCATTTTAAAGCGTCAGCAAATATTTCTCGCACATGGTATGTATTCCAGGGCCGACAATGAATGTCCTGATCGATAAATCGTAACAGACAATAATCGAGAAGAATTGCGAAAAATCGTTTTCACATAATTTATTATCGTCATCATCAAGTGAATTATGGTAATTAATGTAATCCAAAATAGAATTATCGAAAGAAGAAGGACAGTAAGATGCGAGTTTGTTCTTGGAGTTGTTGCATGTAGTGTTTTGCCTCTGATTATCTTAGTCGTAACATTTTCTCAACTATGATAGTAGTTGTGTCATATTTTTCAATGTTTAAAAATACAGCCGTGTATCATGTGATTGATACTCAGGATAGAACTGTCTCTAAAATAGAGAAATGGTGAATAGTTAGACACTGCAGATCGAAGAAAATCCATCTATCTGTACCATCATCTTGAAGAAGTTTACCAAGAATAACACATAATGTAGCATTACCTCTTTCTACCAGTTTCTGCGATTGTGGATCTCTTGGTCGACCATTGATGATCACTAAACCATATCAATTTTAAATCTTCAATAACACCAATCATGGCATACTCCAATAGGCGACTTCTGCTATTTCGATCCTCCTGACAACGGATCTCAACTAATTGAACCCGATAAAATAATAACTGGATTTCCGGGTATTGATTCTGGATCCCGAACTGATTCCTAGACATGCAAAATTGCGGGATAGAACGGCTGCTATTTCGGAGCCTCATTTCCGGGATCGGGATCAAAAAGGGTAATCACACACAGCTCTAATGATGGCGTACGAAGCAAAGAAAGAGAAAAAAATACCGTGCACCTTTACCGGGTGATTCAATAACGAACAGTTGCCTCCACCACATACGACGATGTTTTCTTCCTCTCACTATTTTGTCATTAGCGCACACATCGACATTCAACTCCTGCGGGGGAACCTTTTTATTATCTCGAGCCCTCAAGTCCAAGTCCGTAAAGTTTTTCTGTAGCTCGAGCCCTTGAGCCCGCCCTCATGAGAAAATTATTTTGTCCCGGAAAAGAGAACTACGGACTTCCGGTACTGTTTACCCCGTATATTTAAACCGATAAATAATACATCTGCTAGATTCGGGTAAAGCACGTGATTTTTTCCTTTTGTCCTGGGTCTGTAAGCCCGGACCCAGAAAAAATATAATTTGTCCTAAGCCCATGAACCAAAGCCTGTAAATTGTATTTTGTCCCCAGAAGAGATTCGTAGCTGTTCCGCAGCCTTTTAAAGTGTTTAGCCAAGTGTTTGACAAATAGATCAAGTACTTGTGAAAAAAAAAGCCAAGAACGTTGGGCAAAACTTGCGAGGGTACTTGGGCAAGGACTCGTACGCAAGTACATTCACTAGGGACCGTTTAATCGAGCATACGTTTTTTCTCTATATGGATATGTTTTTCGAATAAACAAACTGGTGACAAATTCCTTCTGTAAGAAATAGACCTGTAACAGTTCCAACTCATAAGTTCAGCTCATTTGAGCGAAAGAACTGTTGAACAGTTCTTTTGAAAGGAGCTGATATGTTTGAACAGCTCTTTTGAATTTTTAAAAATTTTTTCAACGACTACCGCTAAAGCAAGAGCTTGCTCAACTTGAAGCACTGAAGAAGAACGGTCATACATTTGCGTCATTCTGAAGAAAACATTCAACTTTACTTCCAATATTGAACCAGATGGCACGTCGATTCGGTCCTATACCCGCGACCTCAGTTCCCAGTGAGAGCGCATTCTCAATCGCAGGCTATGTTGCTCGAAAAACACGGTCTTCTCTCTCAGCTAAAAACTTGAAATATTCAACGTTCCTAAAATATAAACTTTAATCTTTTCGATAAAAAAAAGGTGTGAATATATTCATTATTCAACTAGTAGTAATATGCATCTTCGTACATTTTGTACTCAATATTTTCAATCAACAAGTTCAATGCACATTTATAATCCACAATCAATAATTCAACCATTAATTAAACTTACTAAATCAATTGCTATTTTAACAACTGATAATGATCCAGACTGGTCAAGAAAAAGTCCATGTAATGTTTATAATTATGGACAATTATGGAAAAAATTAAATTTAGATGCATTAATATTAAATACTTATACACCTGGTAATAGTCATTATAATCCAGTTGAAAGATTAATGTCACCATTATCAAATTGGCTTGTAGGACTTACACTAAAAACGGAATATAATTGAAGTGCCAGCAAACCACATAATCTTGACGATGCGCTTATCTCCTTAAACCCTTATCACAAAAGAAAGTATGCTGGTTTTCAACTAGATTGTTATCCAATCCTTTCATATAATGCAATAGGTGATCCTCATACAACGATCAGGTTATTATTAATGAGAAATAAACCAGATAAATAGTCTGACCTATTTCAGGATTATAAATTTCTATTAAAACATTGTATTAAATCCCATTATTCGTATATGTTTATTAAATATTATGATAAAAACTGTTCACATCGTACTATTAATCCAGTTCGTGCCAATTTGACTATGGAATTACTTTCAGATATATAACAATAGAATGCCGATGCCCTCACCTAGTATTATTCATCCTGATCATTTTACTACATTTTTACTGGATAATGCTTCCTTTTCGACTTATAGCATTTTTCGTAAAAGCCCTAAAAATCGGTAAATATACCACCTCGGCTTGTCCAAATGTTACGGAATTACTTTTTTTCAACTTTCACGTGCGGTAACTTTTCTGAGAATGATCCAAATGCAATGACGCTTTTATCAGAGGTAGACAGTACCGGGTTTTATCACGTCCGAAAATTTCGCTGAGTTTGGATCATCCCATAGAGCATTATTAAAAAAATAACGGCCGTTACGGAATTACCGAAAATGGACTTTTTTTTCAGTGATGTCTAAATTTTACATTTTTCTGCTCAATGAAAGCTTTTTTTGAGATGTGTTCTGAAGCAAAGTTGTGTAGCTTGAAACCCGCTTTCCGAATATCTACTTGGTTTTCGATTAGAATCGCTAAATGATATAAAAATTTGATAAATAGTCCGGTACAGAATTACACCTTTTTTTGGTTCTTTCAAATCAGAAGGTTAAACTTCATTACAAAAGTCGTCGTAGAAAAATATTTCCGATAGCTCTAGACAGTATCTGATCTGATCTTTCCGATGCACTGTAGAAAACGTTTTGAAATGGTTTTGACTTGCAGAAAAACCCGTTTCAAAGCTTGATCTGTCGAAAAACCAACTTCCTCGGAAAGCACCTAAACTTAAAAATAAATACACTATCTTGTAGAGAATGCAATATTTCTTAATTTTTTTCGCGAAAATATCTAGGTCCGGAAATTAAAAATAAAATTTGGATTTCATTTTTTGAGGTCAAAATTTAATTTTCTGGAAATTTTAAGTTGGTATTGGAAATCAGCTTCAAAAACTACGTTAGACGATGTGCTTCACAAATTCTTAAAGTTAAAAAAAAATTTTCGAACCATCTTAAGTGAACGTGACCGTTAGCTGGACAGGCCGATCTATAGAAAACTGAATTTTACAGTCGTCATATTGCAGTCTACGCAGCAGTGCTAGAACTTGTACTTGCAGCATAAGTAGTATAGGTTGAGTACTACGTGTACCCCAAAACATATGTGGGTTCGACCTTCGCACATGTGCGAAATCATACCTGCAAAATAGGAAAATATTAATAATGATCGTACTTTCTGCCTAAATTCTTCTATGAAAAGTAAAAGTATTTGACTAAACACGAGTTTCACTGCACAGAACACGTGTTGATCTACTCATTAAACTGCTTTTTGTGTCTTTCATTTTCTATGCGCAACAATTGACCAGTTAATAAAGCAAGTTCATGATGAACAACAATCATAACTGCTTCACCGAACTCAGTCGAATTTGCAAATACGAGAACATACTCGGTTTGAACAACTGATGATGACTGTTGATTGTGGGTGAAACAAATGAATCGTCAAATACCATGAACAACTACACGAATTTGCTGTTGGAAATAGTATCCACTCAAATCTACCTGTTATAAAATTGTTAACAAGGACTAATATTTTCTAGATATAACTGATGTCAATGCAATTGGCAGCCGTCTTTAATAAAGAAAATATTTCAACTTATTAGGGAGAACGAGATCTATGTTTCTTTTTTTTCAAAGCTTGAATACGGTTTTGATGATGAGAATTATTACATATTCATATGCAGATGAAAAGGATTGTAATTGAAACATATAGGAAACAATAACAGCGATATGTTTAGTGTTCAAAAAATTTGTGAAACTTGTGACAAAAGTCGAGTTAAAATTCTCAAAAAGCCATACAGTTGCACTGTGTAAATTTCGAAACACAAATTCATCAAAAGCTCTTTTCTTATCATTCAAATTTTCTTCATTACGAATGATTATACTTTTAAACGGGTATTACTCGATCTCACTGTCTTCGTTATTTCTACTAACAAGCTTAGTTTTGTGGATGGCTTTCAATTCTCAAAGCAAAACTAACCAAACCTTTTGGAAATTTTCCAGCCGTAAAAAGTTTAAACACTAATACTAACAGATATTTATCACTTACGTTGATAACAAAATACTGTCTGATGTGTTGAATATTCTCAGACGAGCAAAGAGTATCTTAAAAGATGACACATTCTTTTCCTTCTCCTCAAGACTAATAACAATGAGAAATAGTTCCGAATCAACTACGAGTAACGGTCGTAAAATCTAATCTCATATCATACCATCTCAACAATCTATTGACACATATTACCATTGCAAAATGCACCTGTAAAAAGAGGCAGATAAGTGAACTGAATTATACCTAAGGCGCCCGCAAGTCAAAAATGCAGCACTATCTTAACTTTCGATCGAAAGCTACATACTCAGATAGCCCTAACTGAGCTGATTCCGAATATCTCCTTTTGATTCGAATT